TGAAGTTTTAGGTGATTATTGGCCATTTCCTCTGTTTACCTTTGTGAGGCATCTATTCAGATCTTTTGTTCCTTTTTAATGAAACTGTTTGTCCTCTTGTTTATTAGTTAGTTAGTTAGTTAGTTATAATCTTTTATATTTTTCCCGTTACCATTTCACCCCCCACCCTATTTCAGTGTGTAAGCGTTTCCTCGCCCACACACTCACATACATTGTCCCCGGCACCTCCTCACCCTTCCTGCTCTTCTTTCTCCATAAGCACTTACCATCTTAAACATACAACATAAATAATGTATTTTGCTCATTGTCTGTTTATCCCCATCAAGCCAGAAGCCCTAGGAAGACCTCACTGTGCTGTTCTCCACTGTTTTCCTAGCATCTACAATGGTACACATCCAATACAACATTTGAAAGAGCATTTGAAATGTGTCTAGTAATCTAGGAGAAGGAAATAAGTGGGTCTTCTTGTGTGACTAGGCCGGGTTTATTTGCTTGCTTTCTTGTTTGGCAGGACAGCAGCCAAGGTCGGGGAGAAGGGTGCTGGCTGTGAGGGAAGAGTTCACTGTGAAAGTGATCGTTACACTTAGTAGTAAAAGATGATCCAGGACTTTCCAGATAGCACACAGGGGAAGCCCTTCCGGGTAGGAGGAACAGCCTGTGCAAGAGCAAGAGTATTTTGCAAAAGCATGGCACGGTCATAAAATGCCAAAGAGCTGGGGATTGCACCAGGGGAGTGCGGAGCAGGAAGAGTGGGCGTGTGGGCCCAGAGACAGCGGGGAGGGCTAGTCAGGGCCAGCCATGGCGGGGGGACGGAGGTGGCCCTGGCCTCCCCAGGCCTTGGCAGCTGCTCTGCACGGATTCCCCGTTCAATCTAAAACCTGTCCTTTCCTTTAGAGATAGGGTATGATACCATACCACCCACAGTTCCCTTTATAAATAAAAATGCATGTATGATCCCAGAGTGTGAGATTTAAGGCAGGCGATTTTTTAAAAATGTGCACATTTTTCAAAGCAAACAAATGGGAAGGGTTTATATTTTGGAATTGAAATTCCCATTGCAAGCTTATTTTCTTCATCGACTTAGAGTTCCAACTCCGCAGGAAAGCAATGCCAATGACAGAACACACAGTGGCTGTGAAAATAGATACAAACCTGAGGGTGTTAAAAAGCCCTTGACATTTTTTAGCGAGTGGCAGCTGTGGAACCTGCATTGATAGAATATTAACTAGTTTATATTTGAATTGTTAAATTAATAATAATAAAGAGTAAGGAATTGTATGTGGCAAACTGATCAGGACTATAATATTCTTTTTTTATTCTTAAAAGTGGTATTTCTTTTTTTAAAGATTTTATTTATTTTTAGGAAGAGAGGGGAAGGAGAAAGAGAGGGAGAGAAACATCAGTGTGAGAGAGAAACAGTGATTGGTTGATTACCTCCCTACCCCGGGGACCTGGCCTGCAACCCAGGCATGTGCCCTGACTGGGAATCGAACCTATGACCTTTCTCTTTGCAGGATGACACCCAATTGACTGAGCCATGCCACTCAGGGCAACAGTGATATTTCTTGTACTTCAATTCTCCTTAATTTGATTTGTAAAGTTAAGATCTTGTACCCTTTTATTAATTTCACTAGAGTTAAGTATTAAATATTAAGAATAGTCAATGAGCAGAACAATTATAGATTCATTCATTCAACAAATGTTTGACAGCCCAGTGTGAGCAAAAAATGTGATTCGGTTTTAGATTCCAAATGACACACAGCAAGTAGGCATTTCTCTTTGCTTAAAATAACATGAGGAATACATTGATCTTTAATGCAGAGAATAACCATTCAAGTGAATCTGTAAATGTACAGTTTTATTTGGCTGAGATGAAACAGTTGTGAGAATCCCCTAAAAGTCCTATGGAAATCGTATTACTTCCCTTGACTTCTACCTACAACAACAGACCAAAACTTTCTTCAAAGTTGTATCTGCCTGTATTTTCCTTCCAACAAAAATGTCACTAAAATTCTTTACAATGGGGTGAACTCAGCCCCATCCAGGACTTGGGAGACTGATACGACTATAATGAGACCCATTTTCTGTGCATAAACAGATACATCGACAGTATTTTTAAATTCCTTGCCATTGCAATAGGTAGCAAGAGCCAACAGGTGTTCTGCCGCTTTGCCCGAGCAGTCCTGCTCCTGAGAACTTACACAAAGGAACTCACTCCACAGAAGCAAACATCTATAGGCACAGGGTTTTTGTTACAAGACTATCTCCCCAAGCCAAAATCCGGAAGTAACCTGATTTTCTACAACAGGAAAGTGATTGAGAACAGCGTAGTACATGAACAAGGTGTCATGTTATGTGATCATTAAAAGCCAAAACTGTGAAGACTACAGAAATGTCTAACATATTTTTTATAAACCTGAAAATTAAAAGGCAGTATTTTAAAAATAGTGTCACACTGTGGTTATAGCTATGTAAAAAAAAGGTGAGCATGCGGAGGACTGGAAGATAAAATGGAAAAACGACAACTCTGTTAGGATGGAGAAATTAGGAGTTGGTTTTACTTCTTTCAAACAGGTATCAAGTTTTGTTTTACATCAGCTTTTTAACGGGAAATTATGCCGGGTAGAATCCAGTCACGCCACAAGGGTGTGTCCACATAGATCACAAATACAGCATGGTCTTTACTGAGTTGACCACTTGTGCCCTCTGTGAACTCCCCCCTCCAGCTCTCTCTGCCTCTCTCACCTTTGTTTTTAACATTGTTTCCCACCACGCAGAGCTGTTTCCAATGCACACATGTGCATCCCACCTCCAACATACAAAGCTGGACTTCTGAGTTGCAGCTGAGTTCAGAATCACTAATGTCACCAGACAAGAGAACCCGTAGCCTTAAAGATGGCATTTCTGAAATTAAGTAAATTTAAAGCTTTGTTTTAAAGAACATGATAGTTCATGTTCAGGGGACTATTTTTAATTTTGATTCCCTGAGATGTAGGAAAAACAGGCAAATGCATTCACACTGCCAACTCCAAGGCGTTGTCCTCAGAACACACCCCGCCATGGAAGGCAGACCCAGGGACAGCGGAGGGGCCCAGTGGCCAGGTGGCCCACGAGACTTTGCAAGGAAGCAGCTGGCGGTTCTGGAGGAATTCCCAGAAGGCAAATATTTCCTTCTTCATTACATTTACATATAATGTTCAGAAGGCTCTAGGGAACCTGAATTTTTACTTGGATTCCAGCAGTTTTCACTTGGTTGCTCCCTGCAGCATCCCAATGGCAGCCCCGGGACAGGTGGCGGGCTTTCGGGAGAGCCCGCCATAACTGGTCCTCTTAGATCCAACCGAGTGGTGAGGCCTCTCCATCCGCTTCTTTTCCCAAAATGAGGAGCTTCTCATCCAGTCATTTGTTGGCTAGTGGTTCTTCCCTTTTGTCTTTGATTCTTAGGTTTTCTAAATGGACCACTGTCTCAGCATATTAGAGTTGGCAGGAACTTGCCCCAATCCCTATATTTTCAAATTGAAAAACCAAGGCCCAAAAAGACAAATGCTTTGCCCACAAGCACACGACTTGCTGAGGCACAGCTGCTTTCCTGCCTTGAAGCTGACTCTCCAGCTCAGGCAGCGTGGCTGCGCCGGTTGGAGAGCTGTCCTGCACACACACCAAAAAGGATGTGGGTTCAGTATCAGGTCAGGGCACCTACCTAGACTGAGGGTTCAATCCCCAGTCCCTGAAGCACATACAAGAGGGCAACTAATTGATATTTCTCTCTCTCTCTCTCTCCCTTCCTCTCTCTCTAAAATTAATAAACATGTCCTCAGGTGAGGATTTAAAAAAATCACTCTCCCATAGGATCGACCCACAATCTGCAGGGCATGTGCTTTAAGTTCTAGCAGCGGGGACAATGCGCAGTGATTCGAACACACCCTGTTGCCCAGTCACTGGGTGACAAGTGACACATATCTGAAGCATCTGCGGTGGTGCATTGTGAGCATTCGGACTGGGTCACGCGGGGAGGGAGGTTCAGGGGAGACTGAGCCTCTGCTGCTGGCCTTGTGAACAGCATACATTCTTGAGAGCAGATGGCCTTAGAGTAGAAAAGAAGGAGTAAGACTCATTTGTAACCCTAACCCACCCTGGGGTGCATGGCTCACCGTTCGATGCAAAATGCTGATGGGAGTAGAACAACTCTGAGTGCAAGGGCTCTGTCTCTGGTTATCAGTCATCTCCGTTCCTATATTCACACAGTTGCCAAAATATACACTGTGAGCGATGACCTATATCACTTGCAAGCATTTAGTATTTGGGATTCTGGGTCCACTTTGCCCAGAGAAAAGCCTATGAGATGCTTCCGAACAAAAGGCAACTCAGCTCCCTCCTTGCTGGAGGTGGCACTGGCACTGGGAACTGGGTGATGCTCCCCAGCCCAGCCCCCAGGTGTTGAAGCCCTAGCACCCCTAGCGATGAGACTGGAGCTGAGGCTTTGAGGAGGTTAAATGAGGTCACCAGGATGGAGCCCTGATCCCACAGAACCGACTTATAAGAAGAGGAGGTGACCCCAATGCCCTCCGACTGCCACAGGAGGACACAGCAAGAAGGAAGCCGTCTGCAAGCCAAGACAGGGGCTTGCACTAGAACCTGAATGTGCTGGCACCCCGATCTTGAACTTTCCAGCCCCCAAAACCGAGAGAAAATGCCTTTCTATTGTATAAGGCACCAGGTCTAAGGCATTTTGTGATGGCTGCCTGAGCACCTAAGACCCTGTCCTCCAAGCAGAAACGGGTTCTGGGGGGGGGTGCTTAGGCTCCACAGCACCCACACCAGCGTCGCCAGTGCTCTCTGCCTCCACTGCCCCACATCCAGCTTCAGGGGTGGGCCCTGAGCCCGCAGTGTAGGTCCTAAGGGCAGCTTGGGCAAGCTGCGCACGTGCAAGACATTCAGAAAGCAGTCTTTCCTAGCTACACGGGACAGCACGCTTCACACGGGGGTGTGTGTGCACTCACCCAGCAGATGTTCACCGAGGGCCAGCTCTGCATCAGGCACAGGGGTGCGAGGGTGTGGGGGTCACCGCAGTGAACAGGACACGCGGAGCTTGTCCTCCGAGAGCTGATTGTGTGCTGGGGAAGACCAGGTGGGGGGAAAACAGAATAAGTAAGGAAAACATGACAAGCTGGACAGTGATAAGCGATGCGTGCTGTCTAGGTTTCCCAGGGCTGCCGCAACCAGCACCACGCGCTGGTAACTTACGGCCGCAGAAACCCGCTTTCCTGTGTTTGCGGAGGGCAGGAGTCTGGGGTGAAGGTGTGTTTGTGTGTGTGGGGGGCGGGTGTAGTTCCTTTCTGGAGCTTTGAGGGGGAATCTCTTCCCAGCCCCTCTCTGAGCTTTCAGCGGTTGCCTCAGTCCTTGGCTCGCAGCTCCGTCACTCCAGTCTCTGCTTCTGTCCTCAATTGGCCTCTTTCCCACGAGTGGTTTGGTGTCTCTATCCCAGCAGCTCCCTCTCCTTTTTCTTGTAAGGACCCCGGTCGTTGTACTCAGGGCCTGCGCTAATCCCGGATGGCCTTTTCTTAACTAACTGCTTCTGCAGAGACCCTATTTCCAGACGAGGTCACACGGACAGGTTCCCGTGGACATGAATTTAGGCGGAATACTATATAATTCACCCCATGCACCCATCATTAAAATGCTGCATTTAGGTTTGTAGTCTGAAAATATAAACCACCGTTGTTTTCTTTAAATCAATGTTAAATTCAGGTCCTGTCGTTAGTAGGAGAGAAAACAACATGCGAGATGAAGACCAGTCCCTCCTGCAGGACAGAGATGCCGGGAGACGTGGGAATCGGCGGGCCGAACGCAATACAGGTCTGAGGGGCCATCTGATTTTACCATGTAATGGGGAATTTACAGGAACACCTGCATCTGAAAAGAGAACAAAAGAGACCCTTCCACAAAACTACTTCGAGTGAAGTGGGTTTTAGTCCCTGCTCTGGGAGTGAATGGCTGCCACTCCGGCCAGGCGGTCTGGCAGGCCTGTGTGGGGCGGGGGTGAGGGGCTGGGGGTGGTCCTCCAACGCAAAGGCAGGGCAAGGGCTGCCGATGCTTTTTCCTGGGGGCTTTTTAAAGGGGACCGTGTTTGTGCTCCACGAGACAAGAAAGCAGAATGTGTTCAACCTCTAAAAATAATCCTCAAACGCATTCTCGACCTACCACAACTCCCTCCCAGACTCCCTCACCGGCCACTTCTCTCCCCCCGTGACCTCTGCGCTTGTTCCACGGAGGCCCTGGAAGGAATCCCGGGAGAGAAGGGCACCGAGGGCAGCGTGGCGCCCGGCCGCCTCTCCCTGCCTGGCGCTGCCGCCAGCCCTACCCCTCAGGTGGCAGTGTCTTCACACGTTTTTACATGTCTGTGCCCGATTCAGAGCCGAGTGACAGGAGGCTGCTGCAGGGGACGCCGAGCACACGCAGCTGCCTTGCACCCATGAGCTGGTGATGTCTGGTAGTCTCAGGAAAGTCCTGTCTCTTTCGCCTCTTAAACACACGCACGCACACACACAGACACACACGCACGCGCACACACACGTCCCAGGCTCCTTAGTGCTTTGCCTCTTCAATACACCTTCTGTACTGGTCTTCCTCTCTGCACCGTCTGCCCACAAGTGCACAATCCGCCCCTGCAACCGAGTGAGGGCCGGCGCCTCCAGCCTCGCACCCGAATGCCGCCCGCATGGCCCCTGAACAGCTTCCCTCCCCGCTCCCTTTCCAAGTCACATAGAGAGCGTTAGCTGGGTCGCATGCACAACCACCCTGCTGCAGCACAGCTCTACACACCATTCGAGACCCACCAGCCAACGGCAGAGCAGATAGCTTTGCCTCTTCTCGCCATAGACAACCCCCTGCTCCAAGCCCCTAGGTTTGGTATTTCAGTACTCAATTCCAAATATAAAGAAAGCTAACCACCTTCACTAAAGTTCTTTTAATGAGACTTTGTGTGCCTTCTCATTAACGTTCAGCCTTTTTTTTTTTTGCCTTACTGTTTGGTTTTCTGCTTTCTTATTTAAACGGTAGCATATTAAATACACTGTTGTAGCCCTGGCTGGTGTGGTTCGGTGGTTGGAGTGTCGGTCCCTAGCTAAAAGTTGCAGGTCTGACTCCTGGTCAGGGCACATGCCCTGGCTGAGGGTTCAGTCCCCGGTCCAGGCCTGTATGGCAGGCATCTGATTGATGTTTCTCTTTTGTATCAGTGTTTCTCTCTCTCCTTTCCTCTGGCTAAAAGGAATGAAGAAATGTCCTTGGGTGAGAATAAAAAAATACATGGTTGTACACCTTGCTTTTTACTATATCTTTATTGGTGTATATTTTACGTATCATAATTCACCCAGTCAAGGGTCCAATGCAATGATTTTTTAGTAAATGAGCAGGTTGTGTAACCACGACCATGAGTCAGTTTTTGACGGTTCCCACCGCTCCAATAAGATCCTTCATGTCCATTTACAATGAACCTTCCCCATGTTCCCCTCCCCCAGACAACGGTTTTTGCTTGCTTGATTAGCAACGGTGAGAAAGTTTTTTTGATATTGTCACGGGAGTCTACACCTGGCCAGTCTCCTTGCCCTCCTAAGAAGCAGGCAAAGAAGCAGGCGCTGCCATGGTGCCTGCCTTCTAGGTCCCGTGACCGGAAACGACTGGAAGGCAGGGAGGAAGTGGGGGCGGGGCCTTCAAACCACACCCCGCCTCTGCCAAGAACAACTTTTCTTTTAGCTTGAGAACAAAATTCACAGGAAAAATGACTATGTGCCTGTCTTAAATTTTCTTCCAATTAAAAGAAAAATAATACTCTGGTTTCTCTTCAGATTGTATAAATCTTTCATCTCTCACAAATTAAAAGAAAATTAACAAAAGAGAATCCTGAATTATTATGACCTGAAAGTTTTTTCCTAACTAAAGAAAAATAGTTGAGATCATAGCAGGCATGCCCACGTTCAGGGACACCGGGGAATACCTGTCACCGACCATTTGAAGGTTGAAGTTTTGTTTTTGTTTTGTTTTGTTTTCAAAAAAGAAGAGTCAAAGCAAACACAGGAATCGGGAACCACAGAATTCAAGTTAAAACCCCAACAAAGCTGCTTTGGAGGGTGATGGTGGATCAAGAAGATGCAAAGACAGGCAACTCAACCAAGTCGTAATGCAATCTGATTTCAAAGCCCACAGCTGTGGCTGCCTCCGGCCGCCTCTGTGTGCCACAGGAGTAGGAACACAGTAGGTCCTCAATTCAGATTGGCCTGAAGAATGAATAGGTAAATGATGGCTTATTATGTTCTAATCACCACGCTAGAAGTTGGGGGTCAAAAACAACAAAGACCCTGATGTCAAGACATCCAAGTGCCATAGAGAAGCAGGCACGGAAGCAAATATTTTCTGTGTAGTACAGTAATTGATAGAAGTCATTTGAAGGTATGGAGATAGCCCGGAATGGGCGGAGGAGGGGGAAATGATGAGAGGAATTTGGGTATGCTGGTATTCTCCAGGAAAGCAATGACAGAGAAGGGGATGTGGGCAGAAGAAACAGCGTGTGCTAAAAGAATAAGTAGTTCACTCTAACTAGAGCATAAAATGTATCAAGATAGGCTTCCCCCTGGAGCCATGGAGCCTGGAGTCTTGGGTGAGGGCAGACATGGGAAGCAAGAAGCAGTTTGATGGCCAAGTTCAAGGGGTGGGTGAGAAGCAAGAACTGGGTACAAAGCAAAAGTCTTCAACAGGAGACAGACCAGATGGCGTGAACACCAGTGTGCCGACTAACGGAGCAGACTTGTGCTGGTTTATATGTAGGAGCTCAGTGCTGAAGGCCTAGAAAAGTGGCAGGAATAGAAGCCACAGCTTTGATAAAACAAGATTGTACATGGAACTGTAGGTGAATTTTGTGGCAGAGAGGTAGATTTACCAGGTAGGAGGAAAGGGATGAATTTAAACATTGTCTCCCAAACCAACAGAGGAACAAACTGCGAGAGCGGGTATGTGGGTGGCCTGGATGAAGATACATCGGCATCCGGTCAGATGTGCACACAGGGGCCTTTGTGGATACAATGTAGTGCCTCCCTCTTGAAGCAGTCAACTATAAGGACCGTAAGAGCAAAGAGGGAGAGAGAGCTGGGACACACTGGAAAACCGCGTCTCAGTATCAGCCAGGATGCACGACCATGGGCAGTAGCTGAGTGCTGCCCAGACCAAAGCGCCATGAGATGCGAGATCAAAAGGCATTCGAAATGCTGGCCTTTCACCCATCGCCTAGGGGAATGGCTTTCTCGTAAGTGGAGAATCCAGAATGTCTTGTGTTAGTGCAGAGAGATTCAGAACTGGATGTGGGAGCACAGCCCTTCTCAGTGGGGTGCCAGATAAAAGGAAACAAAATCTCTGACTCGGTAGGGCAATAGGGAACTTGGGGAGAAAGCGACAGACTGAGGTACCAGATCCAAAGGGGTGGGTGGAGAGCAGGAACCAGATGGCATGGACGTGCAGACCAGGAGCGAGCCCTGAGACTGCAGTGCGTGACACGGAGAAACGGGCCCGGTACAGAGACCCAGGGTCTGGTCCAGGCTCAATGGAGAGCTACTTAAGCCGCTGCTGATTGGAGCCCTTTCCCCATCCCACCCCCCGAAAAAGCCAGAATATTTTCACCACATATTTGAGGTTTGGAAAGCAGAAAGTTTTTTTTTAAATCATCCTAAGAGATCTCACTAGAAAGATCTGAAACTGTTTAAGTTGTTTCAGGAAAAAAAAAAAACAGTACAAAGCAAGTTGTATGTTTCTACACAATATACTTCTAATTCCAAAAAGTACCTTCACGAGCAACAAATCTTTCTGTGGTCTTTACAAAGCTATGGGTTGACAGACATCTCTGGAATTTTATATATATATGAACCTCGCCAAGGCAGGTGGTATGTGCGGAGACAAGATCTAAGCTTCCAGCCAGTCAAAGCTAAGTAAACAGTCCCCTCGCAACAATCTTTCATAAAACATGTCTTGTGTATTTTAGGGTGTTTTTTGCTGTGGTTGTTGCTGTTGTTTCCCTTACGGGATGGGGGGATTGGGGTACACCCATGTCCGTCTACACAACACCTTAACA